TGTTTGACCTGAATGGAACAGAACCTTAATTAGTATCATTGGTAACACCTGTTTTCACCCGTCTACTTATTTATGTCAAAATAGCTGCTGTGAAAAAGGTCTGTTGGCATAGCCTGGAGTTGTAATAGAGCCTTAAGTCAGATGTAGCTGACTGCACCTAACAGTCTCCTTATCTTTGCAGGTCAGAAACTGTTCAGCTGTCACATGTGCAATACCTCCTTCTCAACAAAGGGCAGCCTAAAAGTGCACATGCGCCTCCACACTGGCTCCAAGCCCTTTAAATGTCCCTTCTGTGAACTCCGCTTCAGAACTTCAGGCCACCGCAAAACCCACATCCAGTGCCACTTCCGGCCAAGCAGCGAAAGAAACAAATCCAAGCGGTCTGCCTCGTCGAGTGGTCAGGCCAATCAGGGTCAAGACCCAGGGACGGGGCAGGCTGTGGCAACGGGCCAGGGGCAGCAGCAGTCAGTTTCAGAGGCTCTTCAACCCGTGGGTCTGCTACAAACCCCCAACTCTGACCCCAACATTTACCTCCCAGCCAACCAAGTCCTAACAGGGCAGTTTGACCAAAATCTACTGCAACCAGGACTAGTGGGACAAGCCATCCTGCCTGCCTCCATGTCAGGTAGGGGTTGTGGATGGGTCGACACACTCACACCCAAAGACACACACATACATACACATAGAAAAAGAAACAACCTGTCATTAATCATGCAGAACAGTGGAAGATAAGAAATTAGCATATTTCACTTGGAGTGCTATAATCAGCAGTCTGTCTGTCTGCGTACCGTGGTCAGCAGGCATAATTTGGAGTGGATGAACTGCCCAGAGACCGTAAAACAGAGGCACTGAATGTTATTATCCCAAAGAGTCACTGTGCGGTGTAATGTATGACCCACCAACAACACATTTTATCGGGATTTGGCACTTACTCTGATCGTAAGGCGGATGATTAATGCACCAAAGTTTGAGAGTGTAAGTGAACTGCTGCAGGGATCATCATTTTTAGTGTCGTCCGATCTGTAATCAGTTGGCAGCATCAACACTGTTGCTTAGGACAAGATGAATTTCAGCGTGATTCCTGATGAGGCCAATGCTGGGACGACGAAGGTGCTTTATCACCACAATCCACCTCATATGAACTGCCTTTCGGCCAATCACAGGATACTATTTGATGGTTTTCAACACAAATGTGCCTTTTCATGCTACCAAAAATCCTCAGAAGAGCCTCTGAACATTCACTTAAGATGTTCGTAGTCAGCTTAGCTGCATTTTCGAGGCAGATAAAACATCCAAGAAACACAGAAGGAGAATCTCTTTTAGGTCTCTGTAACAGGCTTTCACCTCAGCAGCTGAGCATTGAAGGTTCTGCTGTGTGCGCAGTGTGAAATGTGGATAAAATAGCTTCTCTAATAGAATAAAATTGGTAAAGGAAATGATGCTAAGCCTTGACATAGAAAGAGGATTTTTTAGAATCCTCGATTATGGTTCCTATTCACAACTAACACTTCATTAATGCAAAGTCTATGTCGCATTCTGAAAATCAAATCGGCTTCCTTTCCTCAAGTTTGGACTAGAATTGCTCTTTGTCTTCCACGAAATTGAAATAACAGTGCAGTTTCTAATTTGAAACAAACATATTAATAAAAAAAGTGAATTGGTTAGGTTTACAGTGCTATCTAAAAGCTAAATGAGGGTGTTACTGAGCAGCTGTGATTTCTGAATGCAGCACCACGCACATACTTTCTCCCAAACACTACAATTTATTTAAAGTTAAATATGTTGACTGAAGTCTGGCTACCTTCTGCAGCCATGAAATTACTTTCCCCACACAGCTCTTGGAGCATGACAGTTGGGGAGGTGGCCAGAAATGTTTTCCAGTCATTGTTCTCTTCTTCTTTCACACACTCCCTCTGTTTTCCGCATTTTTGAGAGAAGTCCATAGTTCAGTGCGAGCAAACCTTTCCTAAAAAACCTCTCTCCTTTCATCATCTGGCAAAAGACTGATAACATTGCCAGATTTCCTTTGTTGTTACACAGTCTTTTGGTTGCACTTATTCATGAGATATTCAGTACTCGTACTTCAGGGATTTTCTTGCACCAGCAGAAACCAGTCAGGGCATTATGGTATCTCAGAAGCGTAGCAGTGCATATAATGGACTGTATGTCATGCCGTCACATCTGGCCTTTGAGATGCAATGTGAAATTATGCTGCCTCCAGGGTCATCAAGGTACTTCTAATTTATTTTATTTTTTTAATCTACAGTGGCAGACATAGCTCTTGCCCAATAGCTCTACCTGCCATAATCTGCCTGCTGGCAATCAATCAGTTTCTGACATTAGCATTTGGTTGAGCTGAACTGTAGGTATTTATAAAATATAAACACATAATGACATCTCTCCCTCTGCTGCTTTGAAGGTTAATTTGCACAAAGTATTAATATAAAAAAAAGTAAATATTTGTGTGTGTGTCTGTGCGTGTGTTTGTGCGTGCTGCAGCTGCTGGAGACCTGACTGTGTCGCTCCCAGATGGCCTGACCACACTGGATGGCATCCACCTGCAGTTGACGCCTGCCAACCTGGTGTGCCCCAACGTCCAGATCTCTGGCATCGACACCAGCAACATCAACAACATCACACTACAGGTTATACACCTCCTGCTAAACCCTGTGTTGTTAGCCACCGCCGCCTTACCTTTTCTGTTGGTCGTGAATCAAGTTCTTAGTAAAGGGTGTTGCCTTTGTTGTTGCCTCTTTGTCATGGGTTAATTTCATGACCCAAAACTTCACATGGAAGCTTGAACCATCAAACTATCAACCTAAAATGAATACATGAAACATCAGTTTGCTGCAACACTGCTTTTGGGCTCATGAGTCGTGACATGTTCTATAAATATGTTTCATGGCATCATATTACCTTTATATTAGCATTATATAACGTGGTCATACATAATGTATGATTAGCCTAGCCCACTTCTTGTTTATAGCATTGTTTCCAAAAAAGCAAAAGTTGTCAAATAGTTTATACGTATATAATATTTATAAAGACAGAGTATATAAGCCACCGAGGTTTGAGTACATAAATATCCTCTGATTACATCTTGCCAATTACTAATCTTGTTAATATAGTATTTTGTTAATCATTTAATTAATCTGTTTGTAGTTCTTTGCTTTCAGTTTAAACCTTTTTTCAACAAAGGCCTTCAATCACAAGGCTTTTTTTAAAGATGTATCTTTTAATTGAGCAGTCAACTTTATAATTCATCCTGGAGTTTATATAATTTGGTCTCATTTGCAGATTAGTTTGTGCGAAATGGTTGTTGGTCTGTTGGTCTGTTTTTGTATTATCAGCTTTATTTTAGGTAGAATAGTTCTTACTACTAGGGATTTTTACTTGCACATTTCACGCACACAACTATAAATACAAAACCACCCAGTCAAACTTGTAATTAGGGAGTTTGTTTGTAGCCAGGAGATAAAAGTTCACTAAATGTACAGCAATGTTGTGGTAAGGGGGATTTCAACAACTATTAATTGGTTGTGCTATTTACTGCTGCTGCATCGCCATTGTGACATCTCATTTGCTAATGATGGTTCATGCAGGGCATCTTGAGGCCATAGCTCTACAATGGCGGTTTGGGTGTTTTTGCCTTAATGCGACTAGTGAGCGTATATGCACTAAATCAAAAGAGCAGTCTAGTGGAGGAGAAATCCTACAATCCCACAAGAGCACCAGAACGAGATTCAACAGAGCTGTTTTATGGGGAGCCCATTATGAGTTTTGTTCAGTCAGCTGTAAAAGTAATAAATGGAAACTTTGTTTTTCGACACATTGGATCTACACACTGGGGCTTGAATGTATTCAGTTTTTTTATGGTTAACTAAAATTTTAATATTGGAATTTGGTAACATTGTGCTGTTACTCCTATGTGGCATACAACCTCATGTTAAGTAAAAACCAAAAGGATGTTTATCATGTCCTCCACAGTGGTGCATTGTATGTATGGCCTTTTGTCATTATGAAAAATTATTACTTGTCAAAAACTTCATACACATCATGGTAGAATAGATTGGAAGCAGCCTGAATAATTTTCATGATTTATTTGGACATCAGATCTTTTAAACCGTCAATCTATTTAAGTAGATTATTACAGTGTCAATTTGTATGTTCTTAGTGTCTCTCCATCTACATGTGCTGCAAAACCCACAAATTATACACGTAATTACATTCTCTGGAGGTTGTTGAAAGTGATCCCTAAAAAAATAGGATATATTCTATAAGGAAGTTCAGAGACAGTGTAGGCCAAACATTATTTGATTACAAGTTTCCTTCACAATTCTTGGAATGCATTTCACATGACAGATTAACAAGGTCGAAAAGTGATAGAATTTTCCTGAATGACCCTGAAACCATTTTCAAAAAGCAATCATCTTCCCTTAGGCTGTTTCTGTTTCCCCCATACAGTTCTACAGTTGTCACTCTCTCCTTCCTTTCTCAGCGTCACCCTTCCTCTTTCATCTGAAGTAGTACTTTCTCTTCCAGATTGACCCTGCCCTCCTCCAGCAGACCTTACAACAAGGCGGCCTCCTTTCTCAACCCCTGAGTGTTGACACCACTGGCCTCGTCTCCCACTCTGGCAGCCAGCTCATGTCCACCACTGACCCCTCCGTGTCCGCCAACGTCGTCATCCACCCACTGACCAGCCTGGCCCTGCAGCCCTCCGCCATCACACCTGCTCAGGTCACAATGGCCAGCCTCTCTGAGCAGGATGCTACAGGTATGTGTGATGGCCTCAGCCGGGGTAAATTACTAAGAAGATACTCTCTGTTATGAGCTGAATAACTGATCTATGCTTTCCTGTGCATTCTGCAGGGTCTCAGGACCTAAGCCACGTCATGGGCAGCTCGGGGTTGATAGCCGGAGGCGCCAATGGTCAGGAGATCACACTGACCATCAACAATCCCAGCCTGACTCAAGCCCTTGCCTCAGCTTCTTGTTCCGGCGCTGCAGCAGGAAACCCTCAGGAGATCACCCTCACCATATCAGGTATGGAGCACTTTATACAATGCAACTATCAATAAAACATAGAAATACACAGCTACATACTGTACACACTTACCTTGTCTTTTCACAAACTGTCAGTAACAAACAAATAGATTAAATAAAAAATTCCCTCATGGATCTGTAACACGTTTATTGATTTCCTTGCTCAGACGAACACATTTGCAGGCAAAGGGAAAAAAACAGATGCAACAATAACTCACAGCCCTTCCTTTCATTTTGAAGCCGCTTCATAAATCAAGATAAAGCCTCAGTGTGTTAGATTATGAGTGATGCATCGTCTTCACAAATCAATTCTCTATGTATATCATCTTGTGAATCAGCTGGGGATATATGTTGTATCCACACCTTAAGTTAAGATAGATCATCCCCTGTATTCTTCAGTATTTCCTCTGGGCACTACTTGGACTTTTCTTTCATTCAGTATTCCTTAACTAAATCAGGATTTACTGTGATGTGAGTCAAGTCCTTTAGACTAAGGCAATACCAAACTATTGTTATATAGAGCCTTATTTTTTTGTTTTTCTTTCTCTTGAAGCCACTCCAAGACATTGAGTGGAGTGGTTTCTTCCACAAATTGATTTTTTTTCTTTCTTACTAGAAGCAGTCCAAATTAAGTGATGATGGATCACAGTGCATGGGTTCCAAGCAAAATGTCTAAAGTCATTCAAGACTTTCTCATTTTATTGAAATTTGTGTACATTTCACCATTGCTGGGAGAAGAAAATATTCTACATCTTATTCTACCCTAATATAAGTGCCCCCAAATTGGTCTAAGGAGGCGAGTAAAATAAAACTAGATGACAATTTTGAGGAGTCATTGGGTTCAGTCTTGAAATTTTTTATTGCCAGAAGAGGAAGCTTAAATACATCATCAGGGAGCCCCGGCCAAAATAACAAACACACCCAGCCCTAAGTAGACACAAAAATCCCAATACTAACTAAACTTCCAAACAAACAAAAAATTCTTAATCTATCTTCCTAAAATAGGAACTTAACAAAAATGGCAGCTCTCCCCATAAGGGCTTCCTGGCAGTTAGTCACAATTTATATAAAAACCCAACAGATAACAACAGTCTCAACGTAATGAATAGATTGACTGGAAACTAAAAGCAAAGTGAACACCTCCTTTAGCCTTAACCAGACAACATCAGACAAAACTGGCCAAGAAGAGACTGGTAGTGCAGCTTCTCAGGCTTTTAATACCTTTAATACCTGTCCCAGCCAGTAGCACAAGAGAGGAGGAGGAGGAGCAATAACCAAGGCCCACAGAGCCCGAGGAGCAACACAGCACAGATTTTACACAATTTTATCCATGTATGGGGGACGTAACAATAAGAAAAACCAGCAGAGCTTGAAATGTGAATGAATGTAAGAGATATGGCACATTTTTCCTGAAATAAAACATGCTATTTTCCATACTTTCACAGGTCAGGATCTGCTCGCCCAGCATAGCAACCATAATGGTGCCGAAATGAACGGCAGCATCAGGCTGGCATCACCACTTAATAGCCAGCCCACCAGCGCGACCCTGACTATCACCAATGACCACCTCCTACCTCAGAGCCCCGCCAACACTGGAATGGCAGGTTAGGACTGGTATTAATATGTGTTTTGTAGTTTTCTAGTTACACAGAATATTGAAAGCCCTGTTCAGTCCCTGAAGCAGCTATTATGTCTTGCAGAGGTGCTCTTGAGTAAGACAGTTAAAGGTTATTTTGTAACCTTGGTTTTCTAATGAAAATTTAATGAAACACTCACTCTTTGGGGATCTCATCTTTGATGTGAATCGCTTGAAGTCATTATGCCACAGCAAGGTCAAAATTTTGCGACTAATTTTCTACCTTACTTAGCTACCAGGAATTCATGGTAACAGAGAGACTAACCTCTCTCTTTTAGTCAGCTTTGTTGGACACAGCCCCACTCTGGTGAGTCTGATAAATGCACACAAAAGCCATCTTTGACCTGCGCAAGCCATCGTTAGTTAGCTCCGCTCACTTATAACACCGCTTAACTCAGGGCCACCACTTTAAGTCAATAGGATGGCAACAAAGCCAGAGATACCCAGCTGGATGTTGGGCAAGTATCTACACAGTAACCCACTTGAGTAGAACTGATTAAATTGCTACCCATTTGATGGAATAAGCACGCACACTAAGTGGGAGGTACTTGTCTGTACTGCTGTAAGCCATTGCAGTCGCTTCCGACATATAAAGAATGAGACACTGCGTAGGTAGAGTCTCATCTCTTGCTGGTTTAAACAATAAACATTGTCACTGGCAGAAGGGCTGAGCTCTCTCTCTATAAATGCGACTAAAGATAAAGCCTTTTCTGGCCGTCAGATATGACAGGTGGAGAGTGAAGAGTAGAAACCAAACAAGCAGTAGCAGCAGTACTTCAGTTACAAAAGGCTACATGACAGGTGAATGGGTGGATCTAGTTCACTCACATGCTAATCCAGCGCAAGGGGGAGAGCAAATGCCACCATGAGCGTTACCTCAGCTTAAATTCCTTTAATGGTTCAAAAGGAGCTTCCCTTACCTCCAGCAGCAGTGATAGATCCCAGAATAAAACATTAATGGAGTGGCTCAAACACTCTCTCAATCAATGCCCTTTTCATAAAATGGCATCCTAAGGTGTGTGCCACCACTATTGAGTCATCAAAGCATATGTGTGAAGCTGAAATAGCTGCCGGAGAGACTTTTATGGTTGAATAAGGCTTGCCCTGGCTCACACACCAATGAATGCTGCCCTGACAAATTGTCTATTTACTTAGCATCATCTCTTAAAAGAGAAGTAATAATCTCCTGTAGGCCTAAAAGCCTAGAAATGACACACCCTGACCTTCATGTCCTTGGTAATCTTTTATGGGGTGCAAATGTTTGTATACTGTACACACAACTATCAAGATGATGTACATTTGACTTTGAAAACTCTATATGTGAAATATTGTCAATTAATAGTTGTGTAGACTTATCCATGATAGGGAAAGTAAAGGGCTTATGTGCTGTGAAGTGAGCATCTATGATTTGTTTTGTCAAAGATGGCTTCCTGATTGTTCTGTTGACTGGCTTGTCACCTAGAAGCTTAATCAAATATTCAGTCTCATCTCTCTCTTTTCATTACCCTCGTCTCTCAACTCAAGTGGAAAACATTCCCATTCTGTTTTATAGAGACACTGAGAGCATGTCTGCTTTCATTGATTAGACTTAAGCATTCCTGTCACTCACTATGTAAATATGGTTCAACCTGCGCTTTGACTGATAAACTTTACAGGGCCCATATTAGCCTTTTTATTAAAATCAAATATGGGCTACTGTTATTCAAGGCTAATTTAATGGAGGTTCCTCCCTGACCACAACTAATGAATATGCGATTCTTATTTTTAGTTAAGGAGCAAAGCACCAAAAGGGCTTTGATAGCCAGCTGGTTGCAGTCACTTCAACATATACAGGTACACATGTTTCAGTCCTGACAACGATCTATGTGCTGCAACCACTGGTCCAAACTCACAACTCACAGTGAGGCCTGTAACCATAGAAACATCCAGTGCAGCGTGGAAGGATCCCCCCCTACAAAAAATTAATCTGTATATCTTGTAATGAAACCATCCTTCATTAGTTTCATTGTATTTCATTAGTGAAAGGCTTTAAATGGAGAGTTCTAGTGTCAAATGGCCATAATGCTATTTCAGAGGCGCTTTTGTTCAAGAAAGAAAAGCGTATTGTTGAAACATTCATCATCATCTGCAGTTGTTTAATATCAAAAAGCCATTAACTTGCACTTAAATTCATAAATCCCCAAGATTTCTAGTCCGATATATTTGGCAGCACTAACATGTACTGGTGGTAACATCAAGTGCTGTTTCATTTTACAGATCCCAGACTTCTGGGTGCAAGGAACACCCCTTGAGCAGCTACTTTGTCACAAATGCAACAGAGGAGCAACTGATGTATATCTGTTTACAGTGCAGCCAAACATTCTTCAGTTGGCAATGGCAGTAATTTATCATTGCTCCGATATGGCTGTAGGAGATTGACCAATAGATAGTAAGGCTGATATCACTTTGATAAAATTATAGTAACTCAATATCAGTAATGCTGATGTTTCCTGTGAACCCCTCTTGTGTAGGTAGGCTATATGAATGCCACAGACAATAGAAAACCATCACATAAAGAGGTAATTCTAGAATATAAATAACAATAAAGGGGTATTACTGAAAAATGCATGTATAAAAAGTTCTTCATGAAAATCTTATGGATTACAAAATAGTTAGTGAGTTTACTATCAAAGAAGAGTAAAACATTTGGATATTTATTCTTAAAAATGACTCAAAACAATTAATCGATTATCAAAATAGCTCAAGAATAAGTTAATAGTTGACAACAAATCAATGGCCAGTGTTCCCGGTTTAGCAAAGATCTTAATGGTCACCATTCAAATGCACTTTGCAAGAATTGGGTGTTAAAAACTCTACCACTCTAACCTTGTGGCCCATCTCTCACCTGTCAGTCTCCAGCCTACCCCCTAGCACCACCCTGTCACATACTACAGTGTCTCAGAGCCTAGTGATGTCACCAGGAGGCGTGGCCAGCGATAACAGCGTCACACTGACACTGGCAGATGCTCAGGGTATGCTGGAGGGTGTCACTCTAAACCTCAATACACAGGTAAGTAAAACAGATGCACACAAACACACATGTAGATTAGCAATCTGTGCTCACACAATTCAGAGGCCATTTATTGGGATTTTTTGGAGTCATGACTGATTGATTGATGATGTGATGGTATCTTTTGATCTTCAGGGTCAGACCTTTCCTGCGGTTCTGAATGATTCCAGTCTATCAGGACAGCCAGCCAGCTCGGGCCAGCAGGTCATACTAGTCAGCCACCATTCCCAATCCACAAATGGAGCGTCAGACAATGGATACAATGTGAGTGTGTCTGTCTTCTATGTGTAGCATGCTATCTAAGATATCTGGAGTAGGAACTGTAAAACAAAGGTGGAAGTAGGATTACATTGATTAATTGAGCAAGTGTTTAAGATGGCAATCCAATAATCCGCTGTGATGGATTACTTATCACAAGAAGTGTCTACCAGTTGGTATTTATGCCAACATGAATAGAAATCAGAGGATGTCTACAAGATATAAAAAACACATCCATCAATCTCAGAAAGTTTGGATTTTATGGATGTACCACGAGGTGTCTTAACTTTTTCCAACATCTTGCCTGTTTTGAAACAAGACTTGGCTCATGAGACTACCATCACGTATTGCAAGCATAAGTAGCCTATTGTAAAAAATGGAAAATATTATAAGAATTGACATTTTTGTGTTTGATCCAGATCACTGATGACAGCCATAAAGGGGGGAAGGACTGCCAGGCGGAGGCTGATAATCGGAACCAGTGTTACTACTGTAATCAGGTGTGCCAGAACGCCAACACACTGCGACGCCACTGTAGACAAGCTCACGGCAAGGACCGCTGTCACGTCTGCAGTCTCTGTAACAAGGCCTTTAAGCGAGCTACACACCTGAAGGTAAGAACCTGTGTATAAAACAGTGGACTTGGATGATACATTTAAATTTACACTCCTATTGGCTCATATTTAATACTGATCTACTGCTTCCTCTCAGTAAACAAAGTGGCCACTTATTTAATGACAAATTTAGCTTTATATATGAATGAATAAAACTGATTAATAAAACTCTCCAGGTTTTATAAAAACAATAAATCAACTCTCACAAGTCTCATTTTTAGTCAGTGGCTCCACCTTGGGCTGGAGAGTGATAGATTCCAAGAGCCAGTGAGGGAAGGGATGCCATTAACAAAGTGCGTCTCACTTTTTGAAGCAAAAATAAGGGTAATTGATCAAGTGGCATTACAGATAGTCTCCTACAAACTGTTAAATCTTGACAACAAAACACTTAAACTGAGAGGTGTTTTGAAGCCGACTTGAGGATAGGAGCATGTGTTCTTCTCTTTTCTGACGATCCTCTTCATGTGATTGAGACACTCAAGCATGTAAATGCCAAGGCTCTCAGATCAGGAGGAAAGACGAGAAGGAGGATATGGCTTTATGCACAAGCTCTCTCCCCACAATGTGTCATATTTCTAAGCAAAGGCCATAGCCTTCCACTTTGTCTTTCATAAAAGTAATGACACTGGGATTAGATGGATGTCACAGTGAGAGTGACCCGAGCTTCTTCTTCCCCAGACCCCCAGGATGCTCATTAGTCTGAGAACTCAGATGTTGATTTTAGATTTTTAAAAATGCCCAGTGGTGGGAAAAATAAATTGGAAGAGCTGTTATTTTTCACTTTATTGGCCTGTGGATAATAATTTGCCATCTAATTAAAGCTAGACAACTAAAAACCCATGGCTTTATAATTTGGGAACGGTGGGGGAAAAAATTTAAAGGTTTTAGAATTAATTTCAGGCATTTCTGTTCGACAGGCAGTGCTAGATTGGTTAGAGAACACCAGTAGTCTCTCACAGCGAGGACAACTTGGACTACTTTCAATCGTGACAGCCAAATAAATAAAGCACATTTGCTGTTTTGGATGAATCATATAATCTCTGCCTTTGACTCACTCTCACAATTACATGGTCACTTAAAATGACCATATAGCTTTTTCTGTCCCCAACACAGACACCAACACACACACACACACGCGTAGCATTTCGGTGTGTCTAGCCTCTGCGTATGCACGCTGTTGTACCCAAATTTGTTGTCTCGGATGTGATGTTAGAGGTCTAACTGTGCTAACGTTGTGTTTTCAGCTTCACGGAGCCAGCTGACCTAAAGACCGAGCATCAGATTAAAGTTTCTCTTAGTCACAGTCAGCGTGAGTGCTCGTCTGGAGGCACGCTCCATCAAAATACACTGATCACCCCGTTAGTTGACTCACTGCCATTGATAGCAGCTTTATTGTGAACAAGCCACTCTGGGACATAGGAGTAGGGGAATCTAAATCGTAAAATCAATAAACTTCAACTTCAGCATTATTGAACCATACACGTTATTAAGTGGAAACACTGGAATATCTCCTTTTCCTCCTCCTCTTCCTTCTCCTCCCCATCTTCCTCCTCCCCCCTCCGCTCACTTCCTCCGCTCTCGACCTCCTCTCCTCCCTCTTTCCCTCCTCCCTCCCGTCCTCCCCGGCGTCTATAGCCGTGCACTCGCCGCGCGCCGGCGTCCTCCATTTACTCCAACTATCCTCCTTCCTCCTTCCTCTTCCTCCTTCTTCGTCTCCCCTCCTCCTCTTCCCTCCTCCTCCTCTCCTCCTCCTTCTCCTTCTCCTCCTCCTCCTCCTCCCTCCATCCTCCTCCCCCTCCTCCCTCCTCTTACTCCTCCTCTTCCTCCCTTCCTCTTTCGCTCCTCCTCTTCCGTCTCTCCCTCCTCCTCTTCCTCCTCCTCCTCTTCCTCCTTTCTCTTCCCTCCTCCTCCTCTCCTGCCCTCCTTCTCCTTCTCTCCTCCTCCTCTTACTGCTGCCTTTCCCGATGTTAGACAGCCAAACAAAACAAAGTGCGCTGCAGCGTTTTTTGAACAAACTAAGGGTAATGGTCAAGTGGCAGTTACTAGCCATAGTCTTCCTACCAAAACTGTTAAAAAAACAATACTTGACAACAAAACCAGCTTCAAAACTGAGAGTGTGTTTGTGAAGCCCGACTTGAGGATAGGAGGCATGTGTTCTCCTTTTTTCTGACGACTCAGAGGAGAGAGGCGAGAAGAGTGAGAGGGAGAAGGAGGAGAGAGAGAGAGAGAGGAGAGAGAGAGGGAGAGACGTATGACATGTGAGATGAGATGAGGCAGCATACAGAAAGGAGGAGAGCAGGAAGAGGGGGACGCAGAGAAGAGGAGAGGAGAGAGGAAAGAGGAAGAGGGAGAGGGAGTTACCCGGAGTCCGAAAGGAGGATGCAGAGAGGAAGACGAGAGAGGGAGAAGAGGAGTGGAACAGGAGAGAGGAGATGGAAGAGTAGAGGAGAGAGAAGAAGGAGATGATAGAGAGCCGCCCTCGACGCAATGCACCAAGCTTCTCTCCCACAAATTGTGTCACCTCATTTCTACAAGCGGAACAGGCCATACAAAGACCTTTACCATTTGTCTTTCATAAAACAGTAATACACTGGGACGTTGCAGATAGGCATGATCCACAGCTGAGAGTGACCGAGCTTCTTCTTCCCAGACCCCAGGATGCTCATTAGTCTGAGAACTCAGATGTTGATTTTAGATTTTAAAAATGCCCAGTGGTGGGAAAAATAATTGGAAGAAGCTGTTATTTTTCACTTTATTGGCCTGGTGGATAATAACTTTGCCCACTCTAATTACGAAAGCTAGCCAACTAACAAACCCCATGCTTTATAATTTGGGAACGGTGGGGAAAAAATTAAAGGTTTTCAGAATTATTTATCAGGCCAATTTCTGTTTCGACAGGCAGTGCCTAGAATTGGGCTTACGAGAACACCAGTAAGTCCTCTCCACAGCGAGGCACAAACTTGGACTATTTCAAATCGTGACAGCCAAATAAATACAAGACTATTTGCTGTTTTGGATGAACATACTAATCCTCTCCCTTTCGACTCACTCTCACAATTACATGGTACCTTAAATGACCATTAGCTTTTTCTGTCCACACAGACACCAACCGACACACAACACACACACACACACACACACACCATACACACATACACTACTCCAGACCATGTATACAGTTAAGGTTGAAAGTTTACATTTAAGGAATAGTTCAACATTTTAGGAAATAACTTAGATTTTTGCCACTCTCAAGTCACCGTACTCTA